GCCGCTAGGGCAGGGCCTAGTGCTTGGCGCTGCGGCCCGGCCTAGCGCGGCCTAGCGCAGCTCGTCGTGGGGCAGGGCCTCGGGCAGGGCGGCAGGCGGCGGGGCACTGTACCGCAACTCGTGCCCGGCCGGGCCGGCCAGCTCCACGGTGCCCGGCGTGCCCGTCGTACCCGCCGCTGTGAACAGCCCGGTACAGATGAGGCGAGCCATAAAGCCCTGCCGAGCCGAGTCCAATCCGAGAGTCGCGTCCCCCTCCCTTCTCCTCCGCAGGACTGCATTGCGAAGCATAGGGCCGGCGAGCCGCGGCGAGCAGATGAGGCCCTTGGCCGCGCGGAACAGTGGCGGCGGTGTTCCCGCGGCGTGCCCCGCCGCCCGGCCGCCCTGGCCATGTAGGGCATGTTGATGAAAGACGGACGCTGCTGCGCTCGGACGGTTTCCGAAAAAAGTAAGGAGCAGAAATCGGAAGCGACAGTGTACGCCAGTGTGCCGCCTGGCCTGCGCGTCTGTGCGGAGACCCAGAGGCAGCCTGCGAGGTAGGCAGCCCGACCGCTCCTGTGCGCTGTAGGAGGGTGGTTGCCTACCCCGCAAGCTGCAGGCGCTTGGTCTGTGTCAGTGCTGCCGCCAGGGCGCAGTCCTCGCCTCATCTTTCTCTTGCTGACTGAACATGCTGAACGAGTACTATGTGCCTGTGAATAGCTTGCAACTGAAAGTAAAGACGCATAGATTTGCATTTCGATTTGATGGAACACTTGTTGAAGTGTTGACGCTATCATCGTTTTCCCCTTGCGGTCGCGCGCAATGTCGCTTCGCGAAGAACGCTCTCGAAATAATCCCTGTTCCTCAGCCTATCCTGCCCGCTTTTGTCCGCTCTCCGCTCTGGCCCGGGCTGGTTGTACAGCACACCGCGTAGCAGTGTCCCGGCGCAGATAGGCGCAAGGGGGAAAGGGAGGGGGAGGAAGCTTGCACCGGGCCGTCGCCGTCGCGTCGTGAATCAGGCATCGAGCTGCAGACTGATTCCGAGAGTCGTTTTCGTCTCTCTGTCTCTCTCGCACTCATAGCGCGTCCCGTTTAGGTGCGAGAGAGACAGCGACGAGACCGACTCTCGGAATCAGTCTGCTAGGCGGCCGGGCCCCGCGGCGTGGCCCAGCGGCCCGGTGGGACTTTGCGCAGGGACTCGAGCTCGGTTGCGTTCGCGTCGTCGCGAGAGCGCGCTCTGTGCTTTCGTCGCTCTGTCTCTCTCGCACACGCGGGGCGTGCCGCAGCCGGCCGCGGAAGCGCTTGCTCTCCGGCGGGGCGTTCTAGGAAGCCTCAGCCGCCACGGACTGGTGCTTGCCGTGCCGCACGCGCACTGCCGCTGCAGCCACACGGGGTGCACGTCGACGCGTGCAAGCGTGCGCCGCGTGCGCTGACGTCACGGCGAGTCGTGGCTGCGTGCGTGTCGGCAGTGCACACCGTGCACACTGCCAAGGCGGCGGAGGTTGGTGGAGCAGGAACAGCCGGTGGAACACCTGTCGCCACGCCGCGCCGCGACCTCTATCAGCTGATAAGCCGGCGCGTTTGGCCGCGGTCCACGCCGCGCTGTTTAAATGCCGAAACAACGCGCCGCGAGAGGGTAGGCCGTCCTGTGCATTCGCAGTCGCGGGTCGCGGAGACCGTCTGTTGTCCTTCCCGCAGTCTGCACTGCAGTGCCGCGGCGCCATGGGCTGCCATGGGTTGCCATTGGCGGGCGCTCGCAGCTCGAACGGCACTGCGGGCACTGCCCACAGCCGGGCTCCTTTCCAGTCGCTTCGATTGTTTTCGTAAGGCGAGCCGTCCACGCACGACGACAGTTGGAGACAGCGCGGCCCGGCCACGCCACGCCATCCTGGGGACGGGGCACGACGGCGACCTGGTTTCCCTGCCGAGCGTCGACCCCTCTGCGGCGCACAGCACGGCCCAGCAATGCGCTGTGTGCGCCTGGCGGCGAGGGGTTCGACGGGCACGGTGCCGTGCACCACGGCGACGTCGCTCCGACGCGGGGCTCCCTGAGAAGCATGTACAGCGGCCAGCAAAAACGGCCAAGCGTAGGAGCTCGTCGTCCTCTGGGATGTCCGCCTGGCTTACGGTGGTCTGGTCGGCGCCTTGCTTGGAAAAAGCGTGGCGAAGAACATGGCGTGCTTGGCCGCCTGCAGCCTCGTCGCCTCGTCTCCGGACAGGCTGAGCGTCCGGGTCGTGCGGCTCGAGCGGCCAGCGCGGCCAGCAGACTGATTCCGAGAGTCGTTTTCGTCGCTCTGTCTCTCTCGCACTCATGGGGCGTCCCCTCTAGGTGCGATAGAGGCAGAGCGACGACTCTCGGAATCAGTCTGCTGACTGGCTGTGCCGCGGCGGTCGACGCTCGCAATTAGAGTTGCCGGGCGCATCCCTGCTTTCCCTGCCACTGGCGCTGGCTGTGGCACTGCGGACTGATTCCGTCGCTCTGTCTCTCTCGCACTCAAGGGGCGCCCCGTATAGGTGCGAGAGAGACAGAGCGACGAAAACTATTCTCGGCCTGGCCTAGGCGTGTTGGCGTGCTGACGACGTCCGAAGGGGCGTGTCCAGCACACTGTCCGCGAAGCGCGAAGCACCGCCAAGCCACGGCCGCGGCCAGACTGCTGCGGGCGACAGAAAGATGATCGGAAAAAGTGGCGGTGCCTTTTGCGTCTTGCGACACGCCGTAGCAGGCGGACTCTTTCTTGGTCGGCGGAGGTGAAGGTGCGACGCCCGCAGAGTTGCCCTATCGAGCGATGCAGAAGGGTGCTGTCTCTGTCGCCCTCTCGGGGCGTCCCGTCAGAGAGGCAGAGCGGCAAACCACCCTTGGCTCGGCGACGCGACGACGCGGCACGGGACAGGAGGGCTGAAGAAGAAGGGCTGGGCCGGCTCGGGGTTCGGGTTCGGCCCTCCTCGGCGGAAATGGGTCATGAGGCACTGCCCTGCACTGCCCTACTCTGCTTTGTGTGCGAAAGGGCGCGAGGGGCGCTGGGAAGGGTGGGTCACGCGCCGGCACTGGCAAGTGCAGTATTGGCAGCACTCGTAAACACTGCCGAAAACGGCCGAAAAGGCGGGCTGCTCGCGGCCACACCTGTCTGGCCGCGCTTGGCCGTGGCACGGCGGCACGGCCCATTAGGGCACTGATTGCCTGGGAGCCGCCACGCCACGCCGTGCTTTGCCTCGGCCACGCCCAGCCGGCCGCCCTTTGGCTTCGGCCATCATGTCGGCCAGCTCGCGGCCAGCCCAGGGGTTGGGCGTGGGCACACCGCGGGAGGTCGCCCCTCGTTCCGTCTCTCTCGCACCGATACAGGCCACAGGCCGCCCCGCCCGGCCCCGCCCCGTGAACGCGAGAGAGAGAGAGAGAGACAGTCCGCTGGCGGCGCGTGGCCTCGGCCTCGGCCACCAGGTATGGCCCAGCCCTGTCCGTCCCAACCCGACGCGACCCCCGGCCGACTTGTTTTCGTTGTGTTGCCGCCTGCCTCTTCCTGGTGAAGCTCTGGCCGGCCTCGGCCACGCGAGGTTTTCGCGCTTTGGCGGGCCTGTCCGCGTGTCCGCGGGGCTGCTCTAGATTTCCGCTAATGTCTGTTGCGTCAGGCGGCGTGGCGTGGCTCGGCGTGGCGCAGTCAGGGCGTGACCGGCGTGGAGGGGGCGGGGCGGAGCGGGGAGGCGGTGGGCTTTCTTCCATTGTCTGCGCTTGCAGGGCTGCGAGGCCTATGGCGTTGCACGCGGCCGCATTGCAAAGCTATTTATTCGCCATTCCCTTCGTTCCCTTCCCTTCGCTCGGGACCGTTGGTTGCTGCTGGGCTGAGGGCCGGACAACTGGACCACCACCAGGACCTCCAGGACCAGGGCCTCGGCTGCCTCGACGGCGGACTGTGACGCAAGCAGCAGTCCCGGTTGGTCCCGGTGCCCGGCCTCCTAATTATTGACGCAGGCCGCGCTGTCTGGGTCCGGGCAGCCCTCGGGGCAGCCAGGGCAGTCTGCTGTCTCGCTCTGCACTTCCGGTCCTTCCGTCCTTCCGGCGCACTACACTGTAGAGCACTTCTCCTGAGGAAATGGCGACCGGCGTCCAGGGCTGCGGAGGGCGGACGCGTCGCCGCCGCACATCTCGCGTCTCGGCCGGCGGCAAGCTAGATGCCGAATCGCTCTGTTTCTCTTGCACTCGTGGGGCGAGGGGATTAGGTGCGCACTAGGGGTGCGAGAGAGAGCGCGTCGAGGTCTCTGCTCGGAATCAAACTGCAGGGACTCGTTGACGGCAGTGACGGCGATGACGTTGGCGGACACTGTGTCCGGGCCGCGCTGCCGCGCTTTGCTTGGCTTGGCTTCGCTTTGCTTCGCTTTGCTGCGTCGTGGCGCGTTGGCGTCGGCGTTACCTCATCGCTGTCACGCTTGGGGGCGCGGGGCGGGGCCCGGGCGCGTGCCGCCGTGATGCCGGAGCAAGACGGTGCAGAAAGTGTGGCGGGCTGCGGACTGCGGAGTAGGCGCGAACCTTTGCAGCGAGTACGCTGCGCACGCGGCACGGCCAGGGTGCGCGCGGCACCTCGACGCCCCCACCCCCGCCACTGGAAGGAAAGATTGGCGGCACTCGTCTCGAAGCACTGAAGCACTCCACTCGAAGTAACGGCTGCGGCCGAAAGCGTGGTGCCAAGCCCCAAGGCCCAAGGGTGGGTTGGGCCGCCGGAGGGCCGAAGGGCCTCGGGAGGACAAGAACGGGGCGGCGGGGAAATGGGAAAAGGGGAAAGGGCAACGCGGCCTGCCCTTTGGTGAGATGGTTGTCTGCGCACCGTGTGCACTGACAGTGTGCACTGTGTGTGACGGAGAGGGAAGAGGGGGCTCGGAGGGCCGCCGGGCCGGGCTGGCCGGGGTCAAGTCTGCTCCGTACCCGTGCTCCGCGACGGCGGCAGCGCTCCATGCCATGCCGTGGCTGCCCCGTCTGAATGAAAAGGAAGAAAAAAATCTTCTTGAATTAATGTGGTTTGTTTGTCTCACTCCAGGATGGAGCGGCAGCGCGTCTGGATCCCGGACGCGGTGGAGGGCTTCGTGGAGGGCACGGTGGTGGACCTCGGCCTGGACGAGGTGACGGTGGAGCCCCTCGACAGGAAGAAGGCCAAGGTGACGGCCACGCTGGACCGGGTGTATCCCGCCGAGGTGTACGACAGCAAGGATGTGGACGACAACTGTGAGTCATTCCTTTGCAACAGTTTATTATGGCCACAGTAGAAATACACAATTTGAAAATTTTCTACAAGTGTACTGTTTAACTTGATCTCTATTATTTTTTATTTAGGTTCCCTCATGCACCTTAATGAAGCAACCCTTCTTAATAACATCCGAATGCGATACAAGAAAGACAAGATATATGTGAGTGAGATGAATCTCCTCTTGGAATGGGATTTGTAAATAATTTAAAATATTTACTAACAGCCTCTTAATTATTTTTTTCAGACATACGTTGCAAATATTTTAATTGCTGTGAACCCCTACTTTGAAATCAAAAACTTATATTCCAGTGCAACAATTAAGACTTATCAGGGCAAGAGTTTGGGAGTGATGCCACCTCATGTTTTTGCTATAGGTAAAAATTGAAAATTTTTGTCTGTTAGGCAGTCTATCTTTTATTCTCTAACCATTGTTACCTGTTCTGAACTTAGCTGACAAGTCCTTTCGGGACATGAAAGTCTTGAAACAATCTCAGTCGATCATTGTGTCTGGAGAGTCTGGGGCGGGAAAGACAGAATCCACTAAATATCTGTTAAGGTACCTGTGTGACCTATGGGGCTCGTCTGCTGGCCCCATTGAGCAACGTATTCTAGATGGTAATAAACAATTAATCTCACCCTCTGTAAGTTCTCATCTTATTCAAAAATATTTATCCTATCTTCTTCTTTTAATTGCAGCTAATCCAGTTCTGGAAGCATTTGGAAATGCCAAGACGACCCGTAACAACAACAGCAGTAGATTTGGAAAGTTTATGGAAGTTCATTTTGACTCCAAGTGTCAGGTAAATATGATATGCATCACCATTCTAATCTATTTCTTCAATATGATAATTTGGTTTCGTAATTCTAATACAAATATTTACTTTACTGTGCAGGTTGTGGGTGGCTTCATTTCTCATTACCTTCTTGAAAAGTCAAGAATTTGTGGACAGTCACCAGAGGAGAGAAACTACCACGTTTTTTACCAATTGTGTGCTGGTGCTCCCGAGTCACTTCGTAAGAAGTTTGATATCACAAAGCCAGATGATTATCATGTGGGTCTAATGGCATAGATTCAGTATTATTCCTTTGTCATTAATGTTGTACTTATTTTAACTGATTGTTTTCCTATCTCTAGTACCTGAAGCATGGTTGCACCCAGTACTTTACATCATCTTCTACAGAAAAAAGTCTCTCTGCAAACCAGAAGAGCAATGCCCATGCCAAGAATGGGTCACTTCATGATCCACTTTTGGATGACATCAATGATTTTCATTCGATGGATCAAGTAAGAGTTGAAGCACATACATTCCCAATTTAACTATGACTGATAAAAAATTATCTTCAATATTCTTATTTTGTATTGCTTTGCTTCTCCCCCTAAAAAAGGCTCTAGTACGACTTGGCATTACTGAGGATGAAAGACTAGACATCTATGCTATGGTGGCATCAGTTCTTCATCTTGGAAATGTTTCCTTTGAAGACAACCCTGAGGATACAAAGGGAGGATGTCAAGTCGCAGGCAGCTCTGAGAAGTCTCTCTCAACAGCTGCCAGTCTCATGGGTGTTGACCCAGAGGAACTCCGGCAGGCGTTGGTTTCCAAAGTGTTGATGACGAACCGCGGTGGTCTCAAGGGCACGGTCATTATGTAAGTTTCTTGTTCCTATAGTTTATTGTGTCATAAATTTTACAAACTTGCCTCATGTCTGAAATGATTGTGATTTAGGGTCCAGCTTAAGATATATGAAGCAAATAGTGCCCGGGATGCTCTTGCGAAGGCTATATACAGCAAGCTCTTTGACTATATTGTTCAGCGTATCAACAAGAGCATTCCCTTCAAAGCGTCGAGTTACTACATCGGTGTTCTCGATATTGCAGGCTTTGGTAAATATTTTAACTTGTTCTAATATTTACTTCTTGTTACTAATGTTAATATCTCTAAATGGTCTTTGTTTTTCTTGTTCTCTTTTTAGAGTATTTTACTGTAAATAGTTTTGAACAATTTTGTATAAACTATTGCAATGAAAAGCTTCAACAATTTTTCAATGAGCGCATTCTCAAGGAGGAACAAAATCTGTACCAAAGAGAGGGATTGCAAGTGAAAAAAATCGAATTTGTTGATAACCAGGATTGCATAGGTGATGTTTTGTAATTTTTAATAAGTTGAATGAAATTTTGTGCCCCAATTAATGTTTTATATCAATATGTATTTTCTTTTCCTTTTCAGATCTGATAGAAGCAAGTAAAGTTGGAATCTTGAGTTTACTTGATGAAGAATCAAAACTTCCAAAGAGTGCTGCTGATCATTTCACCACTGAAGTGCACCGTCAGTGGAGCAGCCATTTCAGAATAGGGTTGCCTCGTGCTTCTCGATTGAAAGCACATAGAGAAATAAGAGATGACGAGGGTTTCCTCATTCGACACTTTGCTGGAGCAGTTTGCTACCAAACTGTAAGCTCTGTTTCATTCTAATACTCTGTGAATTTTTTAAACGTTCAATCATGCTAATCAAATAAATGTTTCAGGCTCACTTCATAGAAAAGAATAATGATGCTTTGCATGCATCACTAGAAGGCCTGGTTCAGGAGAGCAAAAACCCCTTCCTTCAAAACTTGTTTGCAAATTCTGCTGTCCCAGCAACACAAAAGGGTAAACTTACATTTATCAGTGTTGGTAATAAGTTTAAGCAACAACTTGGAGAACTTATGGACAAACTGGGCAGCACTGTAAGTAATTTATTCTACTTTCGGATACCTCAGTTGTTATTTTCTTGAAAACAGCAGGTCTGTTTAATGAAAAAAATAATTTTTTCAGGGCACGAACTTTGTAAGGTGCATCAAGCCAAACCATCGCATGGTGGCACATGACTTTGAAGGAGGATCAATTCTATCCCAATTACAGTGCTCAGGAATGACTAGTGTTTTGCAACTTATGCAGCAAGGCTTCCCCTCTCGTGCTCCCTTCAGTGAGCTCTACAACATGTATCGAGGCGCCTTGCCTCCAGAGTTGGCTCGTTTGGATCCGAGGTTGTTCTGCAAGGTTGGCATCAGGATTGGAACTTTCCTGTCAAGTTGAAAAACCAAATGAAATTATGTCCATGTTCTATTTGGAATTTTTATCTTTACAGGCACTGTTCAGGGCCTTGGGCATGAATGAAAATGATTATCGGTTTGGCATCACAAAAGTATTCTTCCGTCCAGGCAAATTTGCTGAAGTTGATGCTATTATGAGGTCAGAGCCTGAAAATCTTGCTGCAATGATACAGAAGGTTAAAAAGTGGTTGTTGATTTCACACTGGAAGAAAGCCCAATGGTGTGCTCTTTCAGTTATCAAATGTATGTATCTTCTGTTAAAAGTTATTATTTTTGTCTAAAACAGTAAAGCATTAGAAGTTAACTTACTTTTATTATAATTTATTTTGCAGTGAAAAACAAAATCCTATACCGCCGAGAATGTCATGTGACCATTCAGAAGAACATTCGTATGTATTTGGCCAAGAAGCGTCATCGCCCAAGGTACCGTGGAATAATGAAGATCAACAGCTTGCAGTCCAGGTTAAGTCGTATGGAGGAAATTATGAAGCAGCTTAGAAAAGATCGTGAATCAAGTGAGGCTCAAGTAAAGGCTCTGCATGAGGACATGACGTCAGCTATAAGAAAAATCAAAGTAAGTGGAGATTATTTTCAATAGTACCAAATTAGCTTTGAGATTCTGATTATTGACATGGTGTTGATTCCTCCTTTGTTTCTCACCAGACCAATCCTCGGATAAGTAGTGGCGAGATTGATAGTCTTTACACACAATTAATGAATAAATCCAATGCACAAATGGGTGCTCTCCAATCCAAACTAGAACAACAAAAGAGTGCTGAAGAGCAGGAAAGACTCCGAAGGATTCAACAAGAAATGGAAGAGGAGAAAAGACGTAAGGCTGCAGAAGAAGCAGCTCAAAAAGCCATGGAGGAGGACCGCAAACGGTAAAGAATGTTGAGGGTAACATGCTGCATAGTTTTAATCACATTTTTAAATATTTTTTTAATAACGTTTTATTTTGATGTTGTAGAAAGCAGGAAATGGAAGCCAGACGCAAGGTTGAAGAAGAGCAGAGGCGAAGACAAGAAGAGGAAGATAAAAAGACTGCAGCTGCTCTTCAGGTTTGCCAGATTCGTCATCATTCTTTGCACCAAAATTATTATTGCTCCGTCATATGTGTACTTATTGCCAATTCCAATTTGCAGGCTCAGTTGGAGCAAGAGGCAATGGCAGACGCTCGATTTAGAGATCAAATGGAACAAGAGCGTAGAGATCATGAATTGGCTCTACGGCTGGCTCAGGAAACCAATGGTCAGCTGGAGGATGTTTCCCCACCATTGCGAAGGTATCTATTCACTTTCGTGCTTAAAACTATATTAGAATTAGTTCCTTGACGTTTTCAAAATGGAGACTGTGCAAGATTTGTTTTATGAATGGGAGGAGAAGCTAATTCATTTGTATATTCCAGGTCTGAAAGCACCCGAACTTTGGATGGAGCAGAGAAGAATAAATTTGATCTGTCTAAGTGGAAGTATTCAGAATTAAGGGACACTATCAACACTTCCTGTGATATTGATTTGTTAGAGGTATGTTCAGTTCCAATTAATTTTTCTTAGCTTAGTATTCTTTTGTCTTATTTTTTGGGGGTTCTTCTCAATCAGGCATGCCGTGTCGAGTTCCATCGGCGACTAAAGGTGTATCATGCATGGAAGGCAAAGAACAGACGGCGGACTACAATGGAAGAAAATGAGCGTGCTCCACGATCAGTTATGGATGCAGGTAAAATTATTTATTATGTATGATTCCATTTTTTAATTAAGTTTGAAATTCAAATTAACAATATTCATTTCTCTTTTTCCAGCTGCACGGGCTCCACGTTCTCAAGTGAAAGCCCCTGTAGTCCCCACTAGCTCCCAGCGCTATTTCCGAATCCAATTTGTCCGTCCCACATCCAATCAAAACGGAGAACTTAATCAGAGCAACGGTCACACTGAAGTTGGAACTGGCCTTTCGGAGGGGAGGAGGGGCTGGTGGTATGCCCACTTTGATGGCCAATTTGTTTCCCGCCAAATGGAGTTGCACCCTGACAAACCGGCGATACTACTCACTGCAGGTAAATGTGACAATACCACCAGATTTTCTGTATTTTATAGTTTCGGTTGTTTATATTGGTTAATAATTTTGCCCTCAGGACAAGATGACATGCAGATGTGCGAGTTGAGCCTTGAAGAAACAGGTTTGACAAGAAAACGAGGCGCGGAAATTTTGGAACATGAATTTGAAAAGGAATGGGAGAAACATGGTGGAAAGCCATTTATGCGAATGGCAAGGCCAAATAAGTAGAAAATGAGCTATTGTTGTCTAGCATCTGTGATGTCTTCAAGTTTAAAACAACTAGTGTTATGCAGTGTTAAGTTTATATACTCTGTACTATTGTGCTGTGCAACTGCAGAACTCCTGTCGTGTGTTTTACTTGAAGCACTTGTCCCTTTAAAAAAAAGAGTACTACTGTTTTAATTACAAATAAATAATAATTGTTGTTAAATCTGAGACATGAGATATCTCACTTATTAAAATCCATTGTTTATTGATGTGAATGACAATTTTACATTTTTAATTAATTGTGTAATGTAATATGAATATTTGTTGATTAATCGAGCTTTGCAAGTTACCTCTTGTTATGATCAATTCCAAAATCTTGAAAGTTAAGACTTGATTCATTCATTCCATGTACATTATGCAGACACACTATTAAGAATCAAAACTATTTTGTGAACACTATTCCATTGAACATTCAACATTCCCATTTGCCTGAATTTTAATAAGGCTGTATTTTGTATAGTTTTGAGGTATCATTTGTGCTGTAGCTAATTTGCAATGCTGGAGTGATTTATTTTGAGATAATTTGTGCACTTTGTTATTGTTAATAAATGATTGGAACGAAGCACAGTTGCAAAATTTCCTTCCTGGTGACTTTATTGTTCACTTTTATTCTTTGCACACTGTTGGTAATGGCTGTGGGGTGGCGGCCGCCGCTTCCCTGGCGGCGATCTCGACGTCCTCCTTGGTAGGCGTGGGCCCCTCCTCCTTGTCGTCCTCCTCGTAACGACCGTGCGCGAAGCAGCAGATTGCGCCACACACTGGAACACGCGGACAGCAGAACTTTGGAATGCAACATCCAATGAAATTAGCAATTCCAGCACCTGCTAGGAAAATTGGGACTCTTGGCCGCACAGTACTGTGACGGAAGGCCTCAACGCCTTACGAGGGAGGAAGGCCACCGTCTGCACAGCGGTGTGCTGCGGGACGGCTTGGCGGCCTACCTGCCAGGCGCCGCGGTCTACGAGCCGTGCGCAAGAAACACCGGGGTTGACGGCTATGCACTCTCGACCAGAGTGACCTAGGAGACCAATAGGGAAGTGGGATGTTCGAGTGTTGTCGCATGCGAATCACACCGGGAGAGCCAATTGAAAAATGTGTTTTTCTTCGCGGGGGCAAGGTAGGCCACCGTCTCCACTGCGGTGCGTTGCGTGCCTGCTCGGTGGCCTACCTGCCAGGCGCTTCGGGGCTGCGAACGGGAAAGGCGGCAAACGCGTCCCTGCTCAGGGGGATTTTGCCCTAGTTTCTTCCTTACCGATGGCCATGCTGAACAGAAGCATCAGGGGTAGCTCGCAGGATTGCTCCAACAGGTACCCCATGGCGAGGTTGCCCATGGAGCCGCCTAGCCGTCCGGACAGCATGACGCTCGCCACGCCCACGCCACTGTAACCACCAGTACGCCGTCAGCGCGTTGCTCATCTTCCATAAACACAACGCGATACCAGAGGCACACCAACCTGGCGCGGGCTGGGAAGATGTCCACGATCATGCCGTTGATGCCGATGCAGCCCGTCTCGGCCAGTGCGTTGAAGAAGATGGCCACGGCGACCACCTCGAGGGTGGAGGACGCGTACAGCAGGCCGAAGCCCACCGCCCCGGACAGCAGGTTGCACCCGGCTGCAACGACAAGCACGGCGTCCCTCAGTCCCTCACTCCCCAACCTTACCCTCCAGCGGTCCGCTTTGCCTGGCTTTGCCTACCGGACAGGGTGCGGCGCCCGATGTAGCCCGTGGTGAGCGTGGACAGGAGGTTGACCGTCATGGAGGCACTGTTGATGATGGCCGTGTTGAGGAAGGCCGAGGGGTCCACCACCGTCGCGTCGCCGCAGCTCGTGGCGCCGTCCACCTGGGGTACGCGACATGGCGTCAAGCACAGCTATTCCGGTCCGTGGTTTAAGGGGCATACCAGAAGGGCACGAGAGAGACAGCGGCGAAACCGCGGTTCGGTCTGGCGCGTGGCAGCGAGTGGACCTGGCCTGACTCACCAGCACGGGCACGGGGCTGCTGGAGTTATGGGCCGCGCTGAGGACCGCGCAGACGTACTCGCTTTCGCCGGGGTGGGCGTTGGCGTGGAGCTCGAAGCGGTTCAGCAGCTCCGGGAGCCAGTAGCCGAACCCATACAACCTGCAGGCCGACAGGTGGTCCGTCAAAGCAGGGCGACTCTCGAGTTAGAGTCAGGGGCGGCACCCGCATTTCCGGCTACTCACACGAACATGCTGCAGAAGTAGATGGTGCAGCAGAGGGCGGTGCGGTACAGCACGGGCGGCTTGAACAGCTCCGCGGACAGCTTGAGCGTGCGCGCGAGGATGTGCAGCACGTCCTTGCCGTGCGCGTGTGCGTGGCTGGAGGCCTCCACCGCGTTGGCCCTGGCCTCGGCCCTGGCCTCGGCCCTGGCCGAGCTGGGAAGGTGCAGCCGCTTCACGGGGTAGCCGTCGGCGCTCTCGCCCGTGTTTGTGGCGTAGATGCGGCGGTACACTTTGAGCGCGTCCTCCTCTCGACCGGCCGCCTGGAGGAACTTGGGGGTCTCGGGCATGTAGAGGGCGAGCCCTGCGGCGGTGAGGGTGGGCACGAGCAGCAGGGCCAGGAAGGCGCGCCAAGACTGCAGGCGCACGCCCAGGAAGTCCACGGCCCACGGCAGCGGGATCACCACCCAGGCCAGCGCGGGCAGGATGATCCAGGACGCGATCCACATGGTGCCCATGGCCTGCGAGAACGCAGTCCGCCTCCGGTCGCAGACGAACTCGCCGAGGTACAGGAAGGCGAGCCCGGCGGGGGCCATGTTCCTGCGGGTGGGAATCGGGAGTAGCGTCACACAGGCCGCGTGAGTGTTTGTTATTGCTGTTGTTCGTGGACCTACAGCATGCCGCTAAAGAGGCGCAGCACCGCGAACACGGTGAAGTTGGGCGCGAGGGTGGAGGCGGACACGCAGACGGCATCGATGAGCAAGGCGCCCGCCAGGACGGGCCGCCGGCCGTACGAGTCGCTGAGGGCGCCCCAGAGGTGGGCCGACAGGCCGCCGCCTGCAACGGGACAACAAGGCATCGATGTAGACCGGCACCTCCAGCACCGCGTTTACCTGCTCCAGGATGTACTCTACCTCCGAGGAAGAGCGCGTTGAGCACGCCCATCTGCGAGTCGCTGAGCTGGTAGTCGCACTTGACAGAAGGCAGGATGTAGGCGTTGATGCCGCTCTGCATGCCCGACGTGAAGTAGATGAGGCCAGCTGTGAGGAAGGCCACGTACTGGAACTTGCCGTGCCCTGCAATGACGCCGTTAGGGCTTCCACTGTTCGTTCAAGTTCCATCCACCATACGGCGGCAACGTACCGGCAGCGTCGATCGCCGTCGAGAACCTGGCGCCGTCCATCTTGCCGCGGACCGTGGCGGTGGTGACCTTCATCTTGGAAGGGCACGGGGCCGCTGGAAGGCTTCGATGAACTTCTTCAGAAGTGTTGGGAGGCCAAAGACGTAGATCCTGGCTCGGGGTGCAGGTTGACTAAGAAGCGCAGAAGATCCTGTACAGATGGAATAAAATCTTTCAGTCCTCGGTTGTCGAAATGGAGGGTAGGATTGTGCTTTGAATCGGCTGCTAGACAGCGCCTGTCTCAACCACCAAACCACCCCTGGACCCCTCGATCCGAACACACCAACCTCGGCGATGCGGTTTGTCTCTTCAGATGCAGTCGCGGTCGCGGTGGGGCCAGACCACTGCGAAGAGGACGCGGAGGCAGCTGTTGCAGCAGCAGCAGGTGGCACTTATCATAGCGTCACGACGCACGGCGCGCACGGGGCCATGGAGACGGGCCGGCCCGGACCATTCAGACCACTCGGCACCCCTCGGCGAAACGTCCTTCCTGAGCTGCCACTCGATGTCGACCGGGACCGGCACGGCGGGGCGGGGTGGGGTGTGGTGGAGCGGGGCGGGGCGGGGCGGGGCGCGCTGGGCTAGGGGCTGTGCAGACGTCTGCGAGTGGCAGCCGGCAGATGGCAACTGGACGCCGGGCGCCGCGACGCCGCCCTTATAGGCACCCGTGATGGTGAAAGGGAGGGGAGGGGGCAAGGTAGGCTTGGTCTTACAGTAGCAATCCCGCGGCCTGGCTGCCGGCGCCAGCGCACGCCAGCGCGCTAGAGAGGAGCGGAGGCTGATGTCACATTTATTTGATGGGTACGCGTGTGTAAGTGTGTATAGTGAGTGAGTGAGTGTGCGTGCGTCTCCCTTCAAGTCAGAAGTCCCTGAGGGTCGTTTAGGGTCGTTTATGCTCTGATTGTTTCAGTGGCTGCATGTGATCGCCAGCGTGGTCACAGTGCATCGGCGGGTCGGGGCCAGCCTGCCCAGCCTTGTAGACGCGTGTATACCGTTTGACCGCGAATGCTGCGCGCGGCGAGCGGTTGGGATCCGCGGAAGCTAATGGGAACCAGGGGGAGGTGTTGGGTTGAGTTGTAACTCCCCCTTGCGCTGATGAGCGACGAGCTGGCTAGGCAACCCCTGTAATTAAGCCCCCCCCCCCCGGTGAATTAAACTAGCCACCGCGTGAAAGGGGATGACGATGATTCCGATTCCAAAGCTCAGGATGGTGACGACGGCGACGACAACATTGTCACGCGGACATTGTCGCGCTTCGTGTTTGATAAACACGGTGGCCTCGAAAACAGCGTCCGCGGCGCGTAGCGCGTAGCGGCGGGCGAAACGCGTGGCGGGCTGGGATCTGCTTTATCGTGGACCTTTTCGGGGTCGCCAAACTTGGTCCTGGCGGCCTGGCGGCCCGGCCGGCCGCACTCGGCGCCCTCGCCCTCCACGCTGCAGGCGGATGCACGTCACTGTCGTCGCTCCGTCTCCCTCGCTCTCCTGGAGCGTTCCGTAGGGTGCGAGAGAGACGGGCAGCCTGCTCCACTACTGGCGTGACATTGTAAGGCGCCCTCGACTTTGCATCATGCTATCGCACACGACGCGGCCACCACACGTGAAGGCTGAAGCAGAGGGACGCGTGTTTATTCGGCACACCGACTCGGTAACTCGGTTACGGTCGAGAGAGATGGAGATAGAGATAGTTCCACGGATTCTGCGGAGAGTCGGTGGCAAAGCGGCAAAGCAAACGAAGGGTGCCTGTTGACGACGTGGGCCCCGGGCCCCGGGCTGGATGCTCACGATGCTTGATGTACGCCAGGCAAGACAGACAATCGCAGATGAGGACGCCCTGCCTGAGTCACTTGTTTTCAACCCAGCGGGCCGGAAGTGTTCTTGCCCGGGGTTCAAACACCGCATGGCGCACCCTGCAAACTCTGACAGACTCGATCGACAAGTCGGAGCGATTTGGGAAGGAAGACACTCTAGTCCGACGGTGGGGGGTGGGGTTGGGGAATGGGGGGCTGGAGAGGATGTAGCGCCGTGGACTTCCCCGGCGAGGAAACTCTGGACGTTTCCACGCCGCGGCCGCGGGGTTGCGAAAGACGTCTGCCTGTCGTCTGTATACTTAGGTTGGTGATAGTAGCGGTAGCAGGTTTTCACGACATGCGTCACAGTTATCAAGTGAAGAGCCAAAATTGGCCACTTTTTGGACGTGCCCTCGGGGGCAGCAGAAAGTCATCATTCGTCCAAAATGACTTTCTCCCCATGGGGCATTCCCCCGTCGCTGGCACAGCGTGGAGCGTGAAGGCTCGGTAAATTGTTGTGCTCTTGATTTGAGTGGCGCGATTGCGACGATGCTTTTGAACCTGCCGCCGCGTGCCGCCGCCTTGGACCGCTTGGACAGGGCAAGTTGGCGCTTTGACGGACAGGATGCGAATGCCCATGGACCATGCGGCTCCACGCACCAATTGGCAATGTCACTTCGCATGAGGAGCCTCGCGGCCTGTCGTGGTTTGTCGCGGCCGGGGCACGCGTTCGCCGCGTTCGCGACATGCTGCGTGTCGGCTCGCACTGCCACTGGCTGACCAACACTGGAATCGGAATGAAGGCCTCGATCGGCACCTTGCAGAGGAGGGTGGGTCGTTGGCAAGCAACTGAATTGAGTGATTTGAGTTGATTTATTCACAAGTAAATTCCATTTCTGAGAAACAGTTGACGATTAGTCATGTTACAAAACGGTGAAACACATATTCCTAAATTTTATTTTTGTTAGCAATTTGACAGTTAACAAATGAATTAAACATATTTTCTTGACAATCAATCGAGACTAGATTTAATGACTCAACTCGATAAAAATGCACAAGGTAAATTTCATTTGTGTGCAACAGTTAACAATTAATTTAACTTTTTACAAAATTACTTACATAGATAAAGATTGTGACCACAAGACTTAAGTGAACTGGAGTTGATTTGTTCACAAGTAAATTTCATTAGTGTCGTAACAATTGAACGTTACACAAAATAAGAAACAAAATTAAATATTTTCTTTAACAATGAAAGAATAAATCAAAGTTAAAACAAGAACATGACTTCGAAAAAAAAATGTGCATGGATCTTGTTTAATAGTCATAACAACAAAAGTCACCTGATAAAAATATAAACTTAACAGATTGAAGCTAGATGACTAGAATTGAACAACGCGCCAAAATCAAGTGTCACCAGTGCGGATGGGCGAGGCCCCAACCCTTCCCCAAGCAGAGGCTGTACTCATGCACGAGCGAGCTCAGCTGGAGTTGATGGAGCACAGCGAGCATCACAGAGGAAGGAGTACCGATGGAAAGTGCCTCGGCCGCACGAGTCCGACAGTCAGTCAATTGGGAGACTGGGCGACAACCGTCGTGCGCCCTCGCCATTGGCCCTCGCCATTGGACCAACGATTGGCGTGGAGTGGAATAGGCGGCGACTTGGCGGCCTGCAGGTGCCGAGGCCATTTATAGCCACGGCCTCGACGCCATGGACATGGACAGCGAGTCTAGGGGCGCGCCGCCTTGCTCGACGAGTACGAGCTGATGAGGGTCTGCTTGAGGGGCGCCGGGGTGGCGGGGCGCGCCTGCTCGTCTGCGGGGGCGGCGGGGGCCGCGAGCGCGCCCTGGGACACGGCGTGGCTGCTGACGTACGCGATGCGCCGGTAGTGCGCCACCTGGCCGGCGCTGATGGCGCGCATCTTGAGCACCTGCATCCTGGGCAAGCGCTTCGACGGCACCATCTCGAGCTTCTGCCTCTGGGTGAGTTTGGGCCCCACGAGGCAGTCGCACCTGCAACACGATCGCCTTGAGTTGTCCACCCGGCTCCGAACAGTGACGGCCCAGCCACCCTTAACCAGCAAGTGCACTTACACGACAACGGACCCCACGGGCGGCGGCGAGAGCGGCCGGTCGATCTCCCAAAAGACGGACGAGACAGTGGCGGCTCTGTTGTCCAAGCCCCGGAGGCAGATCATCTGAGAGCTGTACCACTGGCCGCGCGCCACCGAGTCCAGCGAGCCTGCAAAGCCAGACAGAAAAACACAACCGTCAAGGCACGACCAGAAAAGGACGAGGGAAGGGAGGAACGGCCACGCACCCACGATCTCGAACAGGATGTTGGGGCGGCCTCTTCGCTCAGCTTGCGGCCCCAGTCCAGGATGTTCTCCACGGTGCCCGTGATGATCCGGACTCCAAGGTCGATGTTGGGAGTGGCCTGAAATAGCAGAAACAGCGAACAGTGAAGCGACTGGACTGACATTGCTATCTTATCGGTTCCCGCGTAGGGGTAGAGAGAGAGAGAGAGGCGACAGACGTCGGTGCTTACCCTTCCGGACTGGCGAGGCTGGCGAGGCTTGTCGGCCGCCGAGGACGGCATGGGTCTGCTGCTGCTGGACTGCGGCGACTGCGAAGCGGCCGCGGGCTGGCTCAGGGTGGAGGCCTTCACCACCGAGGCAAGAGGCACTACTCTGCTGCCCCCAGGGCCGCCGCGAGGCGCGTTGGGCTGCAGGCCAAAGAAATACAAGATGAGTCCCCGCGGGGTTGGAACCTGGATGCCACGGCAGCAGTGGGGCAGTTCCTGACCTCGTCCTTCACCACCTTCGGCGTGGGCCGCGTCCACACTGGCACCGCCGGCACCACCTCGGCGGCCACGTGGCGCTGCTGGCGCTGCTGGCCCGGCTGTCGCGGCGCCTGCTGGGGCGGCTGGGGGTTGGCCGTGCTGGCGGTCTCCGAGGCGCGGGGGTAGCCGCGGCCCGTCGATGTGGAGGTGCACATCGAGTTGGTCGCCGGGGCGGCGCCGCTGGCCGTGATCGGTGTGCTCTGGGGACGAACCGACTAAAAGAGATGTACATAGAAACTCGAAAGGTGCCTGGACCTACCTTGACTAAGAAGCCTACGCACCGTCTGCGATGGCGTGAAGCCAGAGTAGCCGGACGGGGGGGTGTCGCAGTACATCCTGTCGGCTGCTGGGACTCCTGCGTACCCTGCTCCTGCGACCGGCATGTCGCCGACCGGGTAGAGAGGCCTGCTGAGCATCGGGGGGTCCTGGGGGCAAGCCTGGGGGCAAGCCTGGGGGTAGGCCTGCAGCTCGTGCCCTTGGAAGCGGCGCGCGGCCGGGCCTGGAAACCTCATGTCCACGTCCCCGAATCCCTGCTGGCCGAGCTGGCCGGGCTGGCGGTACGGCTGGCTCGGAGGAAAGTCCGTGGGCTCGCTGTAGCCTCGGCCGAAGCCGTGGGGGCGCTCGAAGTCATGAGGGGTGTACATGTCCATGGGCTGGGAGGAGTACATTAGCGGCTGGGAGGGGCCGTGGTACTGCGGCAAGAAAAACAACAAAAACGAAACAAGTTAGCTCGCTGGCGGCCAGAAGAGGGTTGCGTTGAGGCCCGCCCCTGCGTGCAGAACTCACCATCTGATGCTGTGGCCTCATCTGCTGGCTATTCTGAACTTGCATGGTTTGCAGAGGCCGCCGCGACATCCTAGGGAAAAACGAAACAAATTAAAGAGCAAAGTCGTCAGGAAGACAAGGACACGTGGAGCCAGTTTACATACTCCTGTTGAGGGTAGTAGGTCTGCCCCGCTGGATTCTGGGACGAGCCATGGCCGTACACTGAGCCGGCGAACTGGTTTTCATTACCGCCCGTATGGCCAGCACCCCCGACTTTACCGCGGCCTGAAACACGCGCCAACTTGGAATCAAGAAACTGATTTCCAACGTCCAAGCCGACTTCAAAATCTAAAGGGCCTCAAGATGGCGTCCTGAGCCATGCCCAGCCTACTCACCGGGTTGAGAGCTCCCGCTGTCCGGAGGATAGTTGTAAGAGTTGCTGTACATTTTTATCGAAATGCAACGGGAATCTTGGAGAGTACAATAAATTTCCGTGGTTCCGTGTTCCAAGCGCACTAGAACTTACTCAGATTAAGCACGAGTCCCGTCCGATCACACACAAAGGACCTGTTCTTTCAGCACTACTTCAGCCGCCCGTAACCGTCACCTTTCGTCTTCGAAAACGGCGGAAATGAAAAGCTGTCAAAGCTGCCAACCTCACCACTTTCCCGCGCGAATCTATTTTGGCATGTGATCATGGTACACTAAAAATAATCGAGCTCAAATAATTTTTTATACAAATCAATATTTTTTCATCTCTTTTCCCCAATAACCAGCTTGGAAATATTTAATTTGTGCCCAATGTGTCTTTGTTGGTTGTCAATCATGACACAGTGACCTGCGTGCGACTGTCGTTTGTCCAGTGTTGAACTTTGTTGACGAACGACAAAAACAAAGCGGCATGGCTCACGTTGGAAACTTAATTGTGGTCGGAACTTACGAGGAGTTTGTCTTGGGATATGCAATAGTGCCCGAAGAATATGACGAGGTATGAATTTTATGCATTTGAACTGTTCCCTTCTAAATCTTTCTTCTATGTTGAATTAATTTGGACTTGACAGCAAACCTAACCCCTCATCGTCTGCTACCTTAAGTGTTCGCTTTTCCTTAAATGGTCCATTAGTTGCTGCTTTTATCTCGGTAGTCTTTGATTACGTAGTTTTTTTTTAAGCAAGTAACGCTTTATCTTATCTTTTGTTCCTTTTCCAAATCATGTTTTATTTCTGTTTTCCAGAAAAAGCTTTCATTGGTACAAACTTTTGCTTGCCACTCACACCGAGCAAGTGTTCGGTCACTTGCTGTTGGTGGCGTACATTTAGCATCAGGTAGCACCGATGAAACAATTCGATTATACAACACTTTAAACCAAGTTGAATCTGGAATGTTAACACACCACAACGGTAAGCCCCTCAATTCCTTTGATATGCCCTGCTGGAAACTTTGTGCAAGGGCCATACTTGAAAAAATTGTGCTTTTTGTTGGCTGTTTGAACGACGTCTGGTGAAATCCCTTAGTAAACACTTCTCATCTCTGTGATTTTAGGCTCTGTGAATGCATTAGCCTTTACTGAAGACGGTACCCATCTCATTACTGCTGGAGACGACGGAATGATTGCTGTAGTCCAAACAGGTTCATGGTTTGTGGAAAAACAATGGGCTGGGACTCATAGTGGTGCAGGTAATGTTATCCATAATACTCGTTTGATTTATCAGCTTTTCTGTTTGTCTTAAACTAAAGCTGTGAACTCATTTGTAGCTGTAACTGGACTCTCAATTCATCCTAGTGGTAAAATTGCTCTGTCTGTGGGAGCTGACAATCGTATTGTTACATGGAATTTAGTGAAAGGCAGAAAAGCATATGTCGCCAATGTATCTAGGTGAGAAATAATTTGGTATCTTGTTTTTAACCCTTGCTGTCCTTTTTTATTTTTATAGACTTCAATTTAGGAAAAAAAAAGAGGTTAAAAGTGGCCTCAATTGGGCTACAACACATCAATTAAGCTTATTGTTGCCTTTCTTCCAGTCGTTGCCGGAATGGCTGGGGCGTTGGAGATGTTCAATGGTCCCCTTCAGGATCATGCTACGCTGTATTCATGGCCACTCATGCAGAGGTTTACTCTGTTGCCACAGCCGGAGTTACTCACACTATCACATGTAGTAGCCGAGTCACCTCTATGACTTTCCTTGAGGTATGCTGTAGCTTCAAGATTGAATCAGAAAGCTACCAAGAGCAATTTTGTTCATTCTTAACTCCTGAGCAATGCAATCTTATTTGTGTTTTATTTTTGTGTCAGGATGATATTCTCCTGGTGGGAGAGGAGAGCGGAGAAGCATCAATACATAAACTCATGCCTTCAACATCAGCGGGTCAAGAGGGTGATTTGAAGGAAATTGCACGCTTCCAGGCTCATGAGAAGAGAGTTAAGTCGGCCCGCAACTTTGGGCCAGTGGTAGATGGTGCTCGAAGTGCTACTCAGTTTGTAACTGCTGGGGGAAGTGGCCGTATTTGTTTATGGGAGCTTGAGGTATGTTTATATCACTTCTTCACTTTATAGACAGGTTATTTTATTCTAACTTACGCCTTCATTTTCCCTATTTGCTGCAACTAGGATTCTGAAGTTAGTAAACTTTGTGAAGTAGGCACTGGATGTCGAATCACTAGCATGGCAGTTGTTGATTTAGATAAGGAGCTTAAATTAAAAAAGGAAGATGACGCTGCTCAGTAAGTATTGATTTATGTCTTTTCAGTGGTTTTGTTTAGCTTACATTGAATTTAAAATTATTGTCACACAGGAAAGCATTACTGTCTGACACAAAGAAGAAAATAAAAAATGAAAATGAAGCAAAGAAAAGAAAACATGCTGATGTTCAAGAGGTTTCTGGCAGTAGTAATGGAAACAAAGCATCCTTGAAGGTAACTAAAGCGAATGGTAGAGATTCCTCTCAAAAGAAAAGGAATGGTATGAAATTCTCGTGTGAATTGCAAGAGGCAAAGCCAACTAAAAGTCCAAGAAAAAAAGCTAAAAAAGTAAAGGGTGTTAATGCTGGACAATGGGTTGTAACCCCTTTAGAGTAATTTTCAATACATCTACTTAGGGTCTTTTATGAAATATTGTAATGGCTGTGCCCTTTCCTTGAAATTGGTTGTCTTATTCCACAGTTATTGACAGAGTACAGTAGTGAGCGGAATGGGTGGTGATTTCCAATCATAGGCTATTATTCAGTGCTTACATTTTATTCAAAATTTTGTATCACTGGGCTTGTGTTGTTGTTTTTCTATGACAAAAATAATCAGAGGAACTAATACTAACATTTATCACCTGTGTTGTAACTATGTTAGTACACGTTGAATGCTTTATTTACAGCAATAGTGGTACATAAGTAGGGCATCTACTTTAAAAAAAAAAAAGTCTACATGACTTGTCATGAAACATTTGTACAGATTCAACAGTTGTTGAAATTGTAATTTCTTCATAATATTCACAGACGAATGAAACTTTTTTCATGCCTCCATGATTTTGTCAACTGTGGAGTCACAACTAAATGTCCTATACAGTATTGGCAAAAAGATGACTACAGACTAGCTACTTTTGAAGATGTTACAAAATTGAATGTGTAATAGTAAGTTTCAAGCAAAGAAAGGCAAAATTTCCTATGGATCAAATTCCTTTTGCTTGGAAAATTTCTACTTGAATAAAACTGATATGATTGGCAAATAGAATGTGTCATACATACTTTGATAAAGATGAGATAAATTTTAGTTACTTAAATTGCTACAGTAAAACCCGTTTAAGGCCTTTATTTATGAACTATATTTAATATCAAATGGTCCCTAGAGTTTCCACTGCAACCATGAATTCAGTATCACTGCAATGTAAAACAAATAAAGAGGATTTGTGTGCACCAAAAGTGATTCTTAACTTTAACATAAACAATGTTTTCATGAAATAAAACTTGTTTAAATATCACACTACTAAATTCTAGGCATTGCTATGCTAACCTTTCTAAACTCATAGTTTCAAAGAAACAAAATACAGTGGGTTAAGTAAATTTAATACTCTATGTATGTTATGGACAAAGACGAAGCTTCAACTCTCTTTAGATGAGGGGAAAATATTTTGAGGTATTGCTGGACATTCAATGGGGGCTACTGTTTTTTTGTTCAACATAGAAGGCAGCAAGAATGTAAATAACAAAAGCCAGGTCTTTGGCCATAACATGTACAAGCACCCTGGCAGGACACAATATTCTGAATGGAAATTAAGTAGAGAAGACATAAAATTCTACCAATCTTATGGTAGAACAGTAACTACCAAATTAGGATAAAGAGTTTTTTTTTGTCACCAAACATCAAATTTAAATTTTCTTTTCAAACAGAGATCTTGTCCAGTACAATTTAAAAATTGCGCTGATGTTCCTAGTTTAATTTGGTTATTCTATTGCACTTGTTGCCAAGATGATTGCTTTATACATTGGCACAGGTACTGCACACACATGAGCCATACCATAAACTTAATCAGTCTCTAGTAATAAAGACACAGCCAAATCACATTTGTTACTTCCAATAAATAAACATTCTCTGTCAGGAAAGAGCAAAGCTGTGCAAAATACACGTTTCATTAAACTGCATCTTCAGGATCTACAGTGAACTGGCTCTCTGGAAAATTCTGGAACTCTTGGTACTCTTTTAGCTTAATGCACAATTTTTTCCACAGACCACTGTACATTTAATTAAATATGTTAATTTGTCAACCAGTGTGAAGTGGGATGGAACCAGTTAATGGAACCAGTTACCAGTTGCTTTATGACGGTCTGGGTTCACTTGGATTGAATTAGGATTTGGACCCTCACCGGGAATCTTCCACTGGTCTTTTGACAGAGTAGTTAATCCATCAAGGGAATGTTTTACCTTGCTGATCCTGTCGTTTAGTCTCACCACAAAATACACTTTTCTTGTGGGTTCATTGGACTACCCTTGGGACAGTTCCAAGCTTCAGCAAACTCTTTTGAGTTGGAAAGTGTGCCTACAACTCTGAATCGATTTGGACTGTGAACCCCTTCCACAAGCTTTGACTTTAATGCCCCTGGTGTTGAATGGCCACACCACATCTAGAACAACAGAATAGAAGTTTACATATTGTTACATGAATATTACACAGAAAGTGAAGTTCAGATCAACTTACATGGGCAAATCCAACAAAGAAGAGCTGTTCTGGAGAGTATTGACTTAAACCAGGGAGGCGCACTGTGCCATGTTGTTGAGGAGGCTGTTCATCATGCCTCACTTTGGCAATTCTCGCTTGTACTTTTGCTTTAATTTCAGAATTTTCAGTGGCATTTTGTGTTTGATTTGAAGTTAGTTCTACATCCTGTTTTCTAATCTCCATTTGCGGCTGCTGTGGTTTTCCCCTTTGTCGATCTAGAAATCGTCTGTATGCACGCCAAGCTTCTCTCAATCCACCATTGTCCGCTATGTTTTCACCCTGTGTGTTTATACCATTCACCTGGAACATAAGTATGTAGTGATTATTTGTACATACAAATCATAATCAGAACTATATTTCATCATGTAGAAATTAACTAAATTCATTACTGTGAAATTATGTCCTAGCTGTGGTACATGGTACTGTCCGTATTGCTTTACAATGCACTGAACTCGGTTATGGTACTCTTGTAAAGTAGATTCTGTCCACCATTGCTGTAAGTTGCCATTTTTGTCGTATCTTCGTCCTATAAATTTGAATTTGAAAAATGATAAGAATAGAGAAGAAGCACTGAAGGCCATATATTGTACTATACTCATGCTATAGATTAAAATTGATTAGATATTGCTCTTAGTACCTTGGTCATCAAATCCATGGGTTAATTCATGACCCATTATGGACCCAATGGCTCCATAGTTCAATGCCCTAAAACACAAAATTTTGTTAAGCTATGTGTATTTGAGAAAAATAAAATGAACCAAAAACATGCTGGTGCAGAAAATTTCGCTGAAATAGGTTTGTGGTTGTACATACTCTAGACCAAGTCCATAAAATGGAGGCTGCAAAATTCCAGCTGGGAAAGCTGTTCAAAAGGGGAATAATTATTTACCACTGTACCAATATTCGGTTCAGATCAAGCATTATTATGTTTATCAAATTACTTACTGACTGAATTCAGAACTGGTGAGTAGAAGGCGTTTACAGTTGTCGCAGCAGTTACCCACCTTCACAAGAGTAATTGGAAATAAATTAGCAATGAACACATCATTTTTATGTTCTTGTGACTCTCACCTCACGCACTCACCGATCATGGTCTGGAGCCTTGCGCAGATCTTCAAGGCTTTTCTTCATTGAACTGCCAATCAATTTTAAATATGTCTCAAAAAGTTTTCCCTCTGACACCTCAGCCTGCAAAAAAATTTCTTGTAAGTTTTGCATTTGAAAATTGTTTAAAATTTTTGTTTCCTTAATTTTTTTATAAGTCTTACTCCTTGGAAATACTGCTCAAGCTGACCAGGAGTGAGCAGCCAGCCTGGGAAACCTATGAATGGTCTCATCGCTCGCACTTTATCCAACGTTCTATTCTTAGTCTCCATATCCATCCACTGTAATTCAGCAACTATGTCAGTGAAAGCTGCTTCAATATCTTGGACCATCTCAAGGGCCTAAAAATGGAAAAAATGACTTATTAGGTTTTGGACCCTACCAGCTCAGATAGGTAATTCTTTTTTTCTTTTCCAACCTTTTTTCTTGAGCGATCGTTGAAATGCTTTTGGACATAGAGATAGCTCACAGCCATGCCAAAGTTAGTATTGACATTTGAAGTGCATCTTTTCCACCTGAAATCACAAATATTTTACAGTATTGTGTGATTGGTGCATCAGAAAACAACTCATATCAAACTTGGTTGGTAGCTTACCGTGGTGTTTTCTCAGTAAGACCAAAAACTTTTTGAGTAAAGCGGAAACCTAGATCTCTGAACTCTTGAAGTGTGAGGGGTGCTAGAGATGAAAAAATATTCCACCACACAAAACGTTCTGGAAAATAACACATAGGAAAATTGATACTACAGAATGTAAAGTGGCAGCATACTTTTGAAATTCCCTTGATGGTCATTTACCTAGTGTCGTGTGGTTTGTTGTGCCTATGAGCGAGGCCAGTTTACGGAAATAACTGCTATCCATGAGTACAACTGTGTCTGTATCAAAGTCAAGAGTTACATTGGTTTCCTCCAGAACTAGAGAAACATAGCGTGTCCAGTTGAGCTGTAAAACAGGAAAGAAAGAAATGATTGAAAATCTTTTCCCTCTTGAGAATTACAACTTCCGATGTTAAAAATGCAGGACAGTAAAAACCAATATAAACCATTAAAATTGATTTGGGATCCTGAAATCGGCCATACTGTACCTTGGCCCCGCTGCCACCATCAGCGTCGGTGTGTTCTTGCAGCTGTGCCACCGTCATCTCGTGAAACTGCGATTTGACGTCGCGACGCTGTTCCGCCGTCGTCATGATCTGTCACAGAAAATAACCGCACGATCGCAATTGAAACAAGTTACACATGTGCAGTCGGAGAGGAATGAGCAAAAGTAAGAGGACGCACCCCTGCAAGCTGCGTGCTGAAGCTCAGGACATCCTCGGCGAAGCTCTCGGCCGTGCCGTTGGGCGCGGCCTGGCCGGTGCGCTGCAGGAAGACGCGCACGATGTCCGTGATGTAGCGCCGGTACTCGGCCAGCTCGCCGCCGAAGCGCTCGGCGTCCAGCAGGTAGCGCTCGCTGAAGCCGGGGGAGATCTGGTCCACCACCATCAGGTTCCTGCGGCACGGCACGGGCAGCAGCTCGTCAAGCTCGTCTCGTCGAGTCCACAGCTTGATTTAATCACGCCATCAGTCCCAGAGTCCCAGAGGGGCGGCGTCGGCAAACGGCCGGGCCTGCCGTAGGCCCGAAAATCGCGCACCCCCTAACTTATCTCTCTCTCTCTCTCTGTGCCTCCCGTGGCAATTGAGAGGCCGTCACCGACACCCGCTCGGGGGACTGATGAATGTTTAACGGCGCCGAAATTGTTTCGGGCGGGGCGGAACGGCCAGCGAGAGGTATCGCTCTCGCACTCATTGGGCGCCCCGTTCCCGTGTGGGTGCGAGAGAGACAGACGGAGCCGAGTGCTTCAGCGGCACCGCGGCACGCCTAGAGGCACGCCGACAGTGCTGACACCCACCTGCTGGTGTTCCGCACGTCCTCGTTGACCCAGAAGCCCAGCAGCACGGAGTGGCCCAGCATGCGCTGCGCCCGCGCCGCGGTGTACAGCCAGTCGAAGTCCACGGCCACGCCGAGGCCCTCGACGGCGTTCTCGCCCGGGATGGACAGGCCGCGCGTGGGCAGCGCCGTGCTCAGGTTGAGCTTCTTGAGCGTGGCGACCAGCGGGTCTAGGCCCAGACGCTCCAGCTCGCCTGAAAAATGAAGAACACAACGCGGTGGTCGCAGTTGTAGTGCAAAACAGTGCAGGGGCATTAAGAGGGTGGATCCAGTGGCGCCACCTCGCGGCGATGCTGGAGGCTGATAATCTCTGGACGTACCAGTGTCGAGGCAGGTGCGGTACAGCGCCTTGGCCTGCTTGACGGGGCCCGGCTCGTCGGCGGTGCTGTCCTCCTCCAGGATGTCTGCAACCAAACGAGGGCTTCCTCTAACACCGGACCGAGCCGCAAAGAGAGAACGGCAAAACGCGACGTCGTGGAAGCAGACCTCTGAGGTCACGGAGTAGCTGCTCGCGCAGGGACCGGAACTGATCCCAGGAAGTCTGCGACTCCGGAATGGGGTTCCTCCTAAGCCAGCCTCCGCAGGCGAACTGGTAGAAGTCCTCGCAGGGCTGCGCCGCCGTGTCCAGGGAGTCCAGGATGCGCGCCGCTGCAACCGAGGCGCCATGCTGTCACTTTCTTCCTACGCCCGGTGGCCAGAGCAACTCCGCACTTTAGTCTCTCGCACTAATGGGGTGCTCCACACAGGAGCGAGAGAGACGGAGCGATGAGACATAGCGGAGAGCGCCTGGGAGGTAGGCCGCCCGCCGGACAGCCGAGCGCGCGACGCTGCCCATTGCCTACCTCGCAGGCGCTCTCTGCTGAACAGGCCGGCCGAGCTGACCTCACCTCGTGGCGGCTAGTCTTCGTTCTCTCTTGCTGAAAAAGTGGTGGCTTACCTGTCTTAACGCAGGCTTCGGTGAGGCAGTAGTCCGCGCCTGTGTCCCGCTCCCCTGCAACGTGGAGCCATGACTTTAGAAGACGAAGACGCTCTCCTCATCAATCAGGAACCAGGGCACTGCGCACCGTGCGCACCGCGCGCACCGCGCCGAGGGCGGGGGAGGGCGGGAAAAGGCGCCAAGAGCCAAGGGCTCTCCGAGGCTTTGAGCGCGCCGCGGCAGTCGAAGGCGATGACGGGGCGGCGCGTGGGAAAGCACATCGCAACCAGCCGCACAATAAGGCCCGTCTGTATTCGCGGAGGGAGAGAGAGAGGGGGGGGCCTTCATGCCACCGGCTCGTTCCCGTCGCTTCTTCGCTGACACGCGGCCTGACCGTGGACCCTGCAGGCTCATTCCAAACTCTGTCTCTGTTGCACCCCTACGGGTCACCCCGTGAGTGCGAGGGAGACAGAGCGACGAAAGCTCCTTTCGGAATGAGCCTGGCGCCTGGCGCTCGGCGCTCCGCGCTCCATATTCGCGTCCCCCTGGGCGGGCGTGCGGGGCGCGGCGCAGAAGTCATATACCGGCCTCGGCCCTCGGCGTCGCATGCAGCGCCACGCCTGGCCACGCCGCGCCACGCCGCGCCACGCCATGCCATGGGTGGGCATGAGGGAAATCCCCGCCAGAATTTGAAATAAGGTGGAACGCGGCAAGGCAGGGCGCGACACGGTGCGACACGGCGCGTTACAGTGGTTACAGTGCGACGCAGGGAAGCGACTGCGACTCGCCTCGCGTGTACGGCAGTTGTTGTGTCCTGCGTCGGGGGTTCGCGTCGTTGCAGAAAGGGGTTACGGCGGCCTTGCGGCCGGCCAGCTTCACACGCCGTGCCTTGCAGTGCCGTGCAGTGCCGCGGCGCTTGTCCGCTATTGCCGCTAGTTGGAGTCCCGACCGGACACCGCTTCAAGTCAGCCCTTTGTGTCGCGGGGATGAAAGGCCCTTTGGCGAGGCGGCGGGCCCGACCGAGGGCCAGGCGGTCGAAGAGGAGGGCTCTCGAGGGCGGGACGCGGCATGGGGGCGATGGGGGCACGCCGGAGCACGCGGGGCTGGCTCCCTCTCGCTCGGCCAGCGTGGCTGTGCACCAGTTTATTTGGCCAGCGCGGCGCTGGGGTGGAACCGGGAGGGGGGAGGGGGGCACGTCATGTAAATTCCAGCTGTCCGTCCGGGTCCAGAGATCGGCATGCCGGGAATGACGGCGCCGGGCCGGGGCGCAGCACTGACAGCCAGCAGGGGCAGCACGGCCAGCCAACTCTCCGCTTTGACTACTTCGGCCGCGCTCCGCATTACGCCGCGCCAGTTGACTGATTCCGAGCACGCCCGCTGTCGCTCTGTCTCTCTCGCACTCAGGTGGGGGGTTCTGGATGCGAGAGAGACAGAGCGATGACGCAGCCCGAGAACCACCCCGCCGGCCGGCCGGTCAGACCGAGCTGGCGGCCGATTGGGGCGGCGGGGAGCGCGTTCCCATTCTCGCCGGCCTCGCCGTCGTTCTGCGACTTATTGCCTTCGTCCTTCGTGCCCGTCCCCTGCTGGTCCTGCCGGGATAAGGCCCCCTCCCCTTTCGCTTCCTTGCTCGCTTCCTTGCCGCCCCTTTGTTCCCAGCCGGGGTCAGGTCGGGCTCAAGTCCTGTTGGCGATGCGAAACACGTCTTCGGGGACCTCACTAGTAGTTAGTGTGGCAGCCGGGGGAGCGGATGAGCCCCGCCGTGGCGCGGCGTGGCGTGGCGTGCCACTGCTGCCGGCGGCTAGGCTTCCTTCGTTTGCGAGTTCGGGAGGAGAGGATGAAGGATGCGGAGGATGTGCCCGACGGACATCGCATCGCGCTGCAGCAGTGACGCCCCAAAGGCCCAAAACAAACGGCGGGAACACCGACGCCCCCTCCCCGCTCGGGTGACGTTACGGGCGGCGCCTCGCCCCCCGCGGGCTCATAACCTATCACAGAGCGCCCCCCCCCCCCCCCGCCTCTCCGCTCCATTCAGCGTTGTTGACTTTCACTCGGCTGCCGCCGTGCCGATATCGCGGTGCAAATCCAGCAGACGGGCCGGCGGGGCAGGGCAGGGCGACCGGGTCGCTGTCTCGCGCCCACCGACACCTGTCTCCCGATAATTTTTTGCAGTGGAGGTTCGCCGTCGTGAAATGGCAACTGGACACACGTCTTTCCGCCGTCCCCTCCCACTTAGAAGAGATGAGATACATATGATTGTTACTTCACGTTCACAAAGTGCTCAGCAAACTTTCCGCAGGAAAAAAATTCTCAGCCTCCAGCGGTTTCCTTGCCGTCCGCGCACGGCACGGCACTGCTAATAGATTCCAATGAAAGCCCTGAATGCCGCGCGGCACGCACCGACTGCTTTCGACGAGGCGAACGTCGGCGGGGCCGTCTGGGCCAGGGCAGTTCGCAGTTCGCGGCGGTAAATAGACCCCCCCCCCCCCTCCGAGGAATCACAGCGCCATTGTGCGCTATATTTCATCCGCCGCAAGTCTGGGCAGTGAATCCGAACAGCGCTTTCATCAGGCTGTCTCTCTCGCACCCACGGATGCTTTAGAGTGCGAAGGAGAGAGAGAGAGAGAGGAGAGAGAGAGAGAGAGAGAGAGAGAGAGAGAGAGAGAGAGAGAGAGAGAGAGAGAGAGAGAGAGAGAGAGAGAGAGAGAGAGCTGCCTCTTGGAATCAGTCTGCTGGACGCACCACGCCGCGGAGACCGAAAATAAAGAGCATCATCGGCGAGGCGGGAGGGGAGGGGGTGAAAGGAGGGGAGAGTGCGATTTCGCGTTCGAACATCTCCGAGCGCCAGCGCTGCGTTCCGTTCGGCCGGGCCGAAGCAGCCGAAGCAGGCCGAGGCCGCGGAGGGGAACTGCTGCGGATAGCTGCGGCGTGCCTGAGGCTGCACTTCACTCACTGTAGGCAGCCAGCAGGGTGACGGCGGCCAGCAGCGCCACGGCCGCGGTGGCCAGCAGCACGGCCAGCACCACCAGGCGCAGCTCGCGCGACGACCTCGGCGGCCGCTTGCCCAGCGTGCCCAGCACCGACTCGTCCCTGCAACAAGGAAAGGTGCACAGTCAACTAGCAAGCAAGGACAACGTCGTCTTCGTCGCGCGCAGTGTCAGTTTTTCCGCTGCACATGAACACTACAATGTATTGCGTGCGGGGGAGGGGTGTGTCCCCCGCGCGCTCTTACCCCGGCCGAGAAGGGAGGTGCGCAAAAAGTGCGGCTCTCCGCCCCTGGGAGCTGCGAGCGACCCGAGCACGCACGACGCCACCACCCCTTCCCCCACCCACTGCACTCGCTTCTGGATCCTGGATACGAGTCTCTGGTGGTATTTTGAGCTACTCGAGCCAAGTGGTCGGGATAAAGTACTGCACCTCGCAGGAAAAAGTACACGCGGGGAAAATGAGAGGGAGAAAATAGAGAATCGAACACGAGTTGCCCTTACAGAGGGCCATCGGCTACCCCAGCGGTTTCCAACCTTTTTCGTCTCGCGACCCCAAGGTGGGAACCGCTGGGCTACCCTCTGTTCAGACTCTGCGTGACGCAGGCAGCGAGCAGGGCGTTTCAAAAGCTTCAGACTCACCTGGGCCCCATGTCCTGGAGGTGCGACGGCGACGTCCTGCCGTTAGCGTCGGTGACCTGCAACCAGAAGACACGCCGTGAGAAACTCTAAGCTGGCTGGAAGGCTGGAAGCTTGAAACTGGAAGCTGGCGGCTGGCGGGGCGAAGCGGGGCGGACAGGACAAGTCCCCCGCCGCTCTTTTACGGGGCGCCGGAGTGTTCCCGGAACAAATTAAACCGAAAGCATGGCCGCCGGCACCGCCACCGCCAGGGCACCGCGCTGCATGGCGAGCAGGCGAACTTGCCAGCGGGGACTTGTTGCTAAACTTGAGCATAGCCGGCGGGGCGACTCGTAGGAGCGGCGCCCGGATAGGGTTGGACGGGGCGTGCCCGGGGAGGGGAGGGGCAAGTTATTACACCAGGGATGATGGAGGGCGTAATCGCACACCGGCCTGGCGACGCCCCTCTATATTAACGGATCCATTCCGAGGCCAAAAACACAATTAGGGTGGGTATCGCTCGATGTCACCCCGGCGGGGCGTCGCGCGTCCAGGGGGTGGCTTCTGGGCCTCTGGGCGGCGTGGTGGGGCGGCGCGGGGCGGCGCGCTGCGCGGTGGTCCACGCGGTGTCGCTGAGGCGGCGCGGCGGCGCGCGGCGGTCGTATTTTAAGCCGCGGCGCGCTGCGGAGCGTGCGCAGCTAGGCCAGCACTGGCGGACATGAACTCCCGCGGGTCTTAAACACCACATAAACACAGAGTGGGGCGGGCGGGCCGGGCTCGTGGCTCAAAGTCCGTCCGCGGACAAAGTTCTCGCCTCTCCGAGGCTTGGTCCAGGACTTCCAGGACTCTCGGCCCGCCGCAGTGAACGACGACACTCGCAACACAAACTGCACACAGACACAGACAGACACACACACACATACACACACACACCTTTCTGACCGGCAGGGTGCCGCCTGCCTGGCACATCCTGCCCTATCCGGTCTGGATTATGGCACCGGTGACGGCACTGGCTTTGCAAGACTCGGCGAGACGCTATACCGGCGCGCGCGGTCTGCGGGACCTGATCCGGGCGAGCGCGCCCCGGGCCACCACCACCACGGCGACGACGACGCCGAGCCGACTTCAAGACAGCTCCAGAGCTCCCAGCGGACTGGCGGCGGACGCGATGCGATGCGGCGTCGCGGACGCGCGCGCTTCGACTGCAGACGCCGAGCCTTGCCGCCATAAGTGAAACTACACGCCGCGCCGCGCCACGCCGCCGCGGCCACCACCGCGACCGCCACCGCACGGGGCGACGGTGCGCCGCGCCAGCCGCGCCCCCTCCGAGGGTTCTGTTTTGTACCCCCACCCTTCCCCTCCCCCCGCCGGGCCTACCCTTGCCCACCCCTTTCCGCCCTGCCCGCGCCTCCACACCGGGCCAGGACCGGGCCAATACCCCTTTGCCTGCCGAGAGCAGAGACCAGAGATCTTGAGCCGAGTCGAGCAGGGGCCGGGCCGAGTCGAGTCGAGTCGGGCCGAGGAACGGGGAGCCGGCACACACGAGCACTTTGAGGTTCTGTTACATTCATGTGGACACGCACACAAAGAGACCGGGGGAAAGGGCGGCGAAAGGAGGAAGGGGGGGGGGGGGACGCCGGGCCTGGCCAGGCCTGGCCTTATGCAGTGCTAGAGGCCTAAAGGATTCAATCACAGCTTCCGGCCCGGTCGGGCCAGGTCCAGTGGGGTCTCTGCTCCGAGCTCTGCTCTGAACCAGACGAGCCGAGATCACTGGGTCGCTGGGAACGCAACGCACTGGCGGCGGCTCGTCGCAAAAGTGGGAGGGGGGGGGGCTCGTCCTTCGCCTCAAAGAGGGCGGCCTTCTTCTCCACTGCAAAAACAGCCAGGCCGGGACGCGGGTGGTGCCGGCGGGTACCAGGGGGTTGTTTTGTGTGCTGCGCCTCGGAACTCATCAGATCAGGAGGCGGGGCACGGCCCGCCCGAGTTAAGGAAAAGTTATGGTAAACATTTACAGTCCATTAGAGGCCTGATCAACGCCCAGCAAGCAGAGGAGTGTTTCCGGAGAGTGTTTTCTGCGCTCTGTCTCTCTCGCACTCGCGCGGGGCGCCCCAGGGGCGCGACAGAGACAGCACGCCGAAAGCACTGCTCGGAATCAGCCGGCAGGAGGGCCAAGCCCCGTTCCGGCCTCAAAATTATCTCAGGAATCCAGGAGGGCGGCGCCTCGCCTCCGCCCTTCTATCGGGGGAATGCCGGCGTCCTCGGGGAGCTCGGCGTGCCCAAGGGCGTGCCGGCCGGGGCACGTGCGCGTCGACGGGCGGCCTGACTTGCACGTCGGCGACGTCGGCCAAACTCGCAATTTCTCATCGCTGTGTACGGCTTGCGGGTGGCGCGCCGCGCGCAGCCCATTGCGGCTTCACGCGCCGTTCGCCTCCGCGCCGCGCTGGCCGCGCTGGCCGCGCTCCACTCCGCCAGCCTGGCCGGCCTAGAGGCCGTGCCGCGTCCGCCGCGTCACTGCGAAAGGGCAGGCCGACCGCCGGCCGCCGTGCTGGGTACAGTATTTGGGGAGAGGAGCGCGTCAAGCCTGTGAAAAGCGTGCGCAAAGAGCGCCACGCAACACCTCGCCGCGCCGTGCTGGGACGCGACGCCCTGGGACTCTCTCCCCGCCGACGTGTCCTCGTGGCCGCCGTCAGGGCGTCGCGTCAGCACCGCCAGGGCCGCCAGGTGAATTGTGGGGAGTGGCACGGAGTGGCACGGAGTGGCGACGCGTCGTCCGCAGACAAAAGGACCAAAACGACTTCACCAGCACGCTGCGGGCGATTAGCTCGCCCCGGGCTTTATGGCTTTGCTTTGATTCATGGCGGCCCAGCCCAGCGTCGCCCTGTCTCTCTCGCACTCACGGGACGGGCCGCAAGGGTGCGAGAGAGACAGAGCGACGAAGCGCCAATGTACCGTGTGTGCTGGTCGCGGCGATGCGGTGTGCGTGCCGGGGCCGCGGGTCGCGGTCGCGGCGAGAATGCCGAACCGAAACCATTTCCGTGGAACGCCGCACCGCGCACATACAGAGAGCCAGGCAGCCCGGCCAGCCCGGCCAGCGGACACAACCCCGAGGGCGTGTGGGGCTCTGTGTTCTCAAACGGAAATCGAATCGAACATGTGACAGAGCCAATGGAATGCCCGCGTGCCCGTCGAACGAGGAACCCATTGGTATCGTCACGTGTTTGCCTCGAGTCCTTGCTCACATCATGTCCCGAGTTGTATCCGTCCGCCTAAACTGCTGTCTGGTCCACATCGCGCTGCCGAGTGCATGAGGAAGGGGCACTGGTTGAGGGAGCGGCAGAGGCATAGGTCGCCAACGGGAACCTATTTCCGGTTCCATTCGGCGCCCTGCGAATTCGGCCGCCGTGCGGACCGGTGCGGGCCTCGCCTCTGCCTCGGGTGGGTGGGGTGGGTCGGGGAAGAATGAAGAATGCGACAGCAGAAGTCAACAGTCACTCCCCGAATGGGAGCACGGCCGTGCCCCGCAGAGCCGGGCCGAGCCAGGCAGCCACGGGCGTGAGAGAGAGAAGGACAAAGAGAAGAAGCGCCGCGGTGGGTGGAGTGTGGAGTGCCGACACGGGCTGAGATTTATACGGCGGGGCGGTGGCGGTGCACTCGCAGTGGTGCGCGGACTGACTGCGTGGTGCGTGCGCCGCGGTGCGCCGTCCTGGAAGTAACGAGCCAGCCAGCCAGCCTTTTTGCCGCGGGCTGTCCGTATCTGGAAGAGGGATGGCGCGGACGGAAAAGCCTCGCCGCCGGCGGGGCGCGAACCACGTCCTCATCGGTCGATGGGATTTGTGGCGCCAAGCGGAGTGCGCGGGGTTGGGCACGGGAGCCGCGTGGCGCGAATTCCTCGCTCAAGATGCCCGAGATCCTCGAGATGCTCAAGATGCACCGTGAGGCGGCACGCCGATTGTGCCGGGGGCGTGTGCTGCCTGACGGCCCGACGGCGACGGCGGACAATCGCCAACGGGTTCCTCGTGAGTCACCATAACCCGCCTCAACTCGGGCGCCGCCGCCACGCCGCGCCGCGCCACGCCCAAGGTAGACAAACTCAGATAGACGGGGTCGCCGCCGTCGCTCCGGCAGCGTGATTCCGACAGCCCTCGCTCCGTCTCCCTCGCACCCTTGCGGTCCGCCCCGTGAGAGCGACGAAGACGAAAGCACTGGCCTCCGCCCCGGGCCATGGGTGAGAGGCTGCAGTGCAGGCAGACCGCAGGCAGATTATGGGATCATGCTGCGGATTCGTACCGCCGTGCCGCCGTACCGCCGCTCGTTCTTTCGAAACAACCCCCCTACATCACCGGGCCCGACGTAGCCTACAGACCCGGCGCGGTCCTGCACGGGCCATCAACTATTCCTTCCGCGGTGGCGCTCTGCGCTCTCCTTCTTCAAAAGCGTCCTCGCCATCCGTTCCTCGGGCTGCTCTGTTCCTCCCGGCCGAGCGAGGCTCCCCAGGGCGCGGGTAGGAAGGCCCCGGCGGTGATCGGGATACAGGCCCTGCAGGCCCCACAGGCCCGGCGGGCGCGTTCTCCGGGACTCCGGGACTCCAGGCAGGGGCAGTGATCGGCGAGGCATTCGCCGGTCCGCATTATCCGCTGCTTTCTCAGGTGATTGCCCCAGCGACCGACAGCCACGCCCGAAGGTCAGGGGACCGGGGCGGCCGGGAAGGGGCAGCGGGTGGAGCGGGGCGGAGCGTGGAGCAGCAGAGCGGGGTCATCGAGGCGGCCAGGCAGTGACCGGCCTGCCCACGCCCCAATGCCTCGTGCGTAGCGCCGAGACGGCCTCATTTGCATCGAGTGTGGCTGCCCGGCTGCGCGGCACCACGCCGCCTCTGTTTATGTTGTGGTTCGCGCGCATCCGACCGGACCGCCGGACCGCCGGGCGGCGGACGCGGCGACCGGTGGCGGCAGCCGGAATCTTCCAGCCCGAGGCAGATATTAATTCGGTACAAGACCAAACTCGTCATTCAAGCGCAAGCAAGACGCAGGGGGAAATCCTAAATCCTTGATTGTGGCGAACGCGGCCCGGCCGGCATATTCATTGTCGCTCTGTCTCTCTCGCACCCTCCGGGACGCCCCATGAGTGCGACAGAGACAGTGCGACGGGATGGGATGGCTCGAGGAGATAAGACGGGGACCGCGACGGGGACCCGCCGTACTCCGGGCCGCGCCGCCGGTGTAGCGCCGCTCGGCGGCGTCCTTACCCAATGGCGAGGCCGAGCCATTTGCATACGCGGTAATCCTTACGCTTCATAACATCACCTACGCTCCGCCCACCGCGATGTGTGCGAGTGAGTGTGAGCGTGTATGTGTGAGTGAGTGTGTGTGTGTGCGCGCGCACCCCGTTCACGCGAACACAGACTGGCCTACGCCCAGTGAAAGTGATCGGGAGAGGCGCGTGCCGCGTGCCGCGTGCCAGGCTGAGGCTGGAGCAGCGGGCCGCGGGCCGCTCGCGTACATCAACCTGGCGCGCGAGTCAGCCAGTGTGTGTGTGTGGTGGGGAGGTAGGGGGCGTAAGCAAATCGATACACTCGATCATCACGTCCAACTTGTTATTGTTGTGCGAGAACAACGAAGTCAGTCCAATTTGTGGCAGCCGGCGCGCTGGAGCACTGACCCTCAGCTATGCACGTCCCATTCAGTCGTCGCGCTGTCTCTCTCGCACCCACACGGAAGGCCCCAGGGGTGCGAGAGAGACAGCGAACCAGCCTGCTGGCAGTCCCTGGCGGCGGTCCCCCTGCCGCGGGGAGAATGTCAATGGCGGGGCCCAGGCAGGCCGGCCAGGCCGCGGTGTCGCCGCCGTGTCGCCGCCGTGTCCGCGTCGCCGCCGTGTCCGCGGAGTCGTCGCTCGCCGAGTGAGCAAGGAGTGTCGCCGCTTGGCGCTTCGCTCCTCCACCAATTGAACCGTTTTCCTGGCGAAACGTCCAGAAT